ATGTGGCTGGATCCAGTCTTAGCCCCTGACTGTTAATGAGAGTTTGAACCCTTGGTTCTGCCACAAGAGTTGTGTTATTTCAACTCGAGCTGGGACCCTCTGAGAGGGACCCCAGTTAAAGAAATCCGTCAACAATTACACCCTTACTATCCAAGTTCACCTCCCCTCCTGCAGTGGTTTGGTCCAATAGTAGTAGTTGGGTCTGGGGTCTTCGTGTTCCTCACTGGGTCATTTCTCTCTCTCCAGATGGGCATTTTTTTTCTATATCTCAAGGGTGCAGTTTCTGTTGATCTTACCTTTCTCAATTAGAATTGCTTTCCAGGCCTTTCTTCAGCCTAAGCTCTTCAGTACTTAGGTAAAAGTCTGCACTCTGGGCCTAAGGCTTTAGTAAATCTGGCTCCTCCTGCTAAACAATGTCACTCATAAGACAAAACAGACTTCAATTCATCGTAATTTTCAGGACTCCCCCAGTTCTCATATTCTACTATTTTAATCTTCAACAGAGGGTTGGGACACACTCTAGAAAAATGGCACTTGCAGGGGCTGCTCAAGACTACCCAGATGTGTTGCTGGCTGCCGCCCACGGTGCCTGGCTTCCTCGGCTTTCTTTGCTGAGCCTCAGCTTGGCACCCGTTCCATTGCGCAGGCGTGGTATGTGTGAGTAACCACACAGTGGCTCCCAGTGTGCGGGAGGGTCACATGCCACTGTACTGCCGGTCTTTGAGAACCAAAGGGACTGGATCCATCACTAGATGAGAGAGTCTTTGTTTTAACCAAGATAAATATAAACCAGTTCTTTCCTCCTGTTTGGAGATTGGTTGCTAATTTGGTTTCAGTTAGCAAATCTTCACTCTAAAGAAGTCAGGTACTTTGGGTACTGAGCCACAAGGTGAATGTTTCCACCTTGGCTTTGCAGGGCGAGTGCTTAGGCTGACTCCAGTGTACGGAGCTGATACTGTCATTTACAGTATTGAAACAAACTATTTCTCCAGAACAAAACTTCTGACGAGTTTGCTGCTGATTTCTGGATGCTATGATACTCAATTTCAACAAAATATTCCTGCAAATATTGAGACATACGTTGAATTTGTACCTCTAAAATAGTGTAGCAGTTTTTATGTAGGGTTTAACGTCTTATGTACACAATAACGCTTTCAGACCTATAAGACCTGTAAGTTTTGGTGTTTGGGTTTTTTATACTTATTTTCACAGAAATACCTGTAAGGCCAAATATGACGGTAAAGGCTGTGATAATGGATCCAGAAATTGTATTTGTTGCTAATTTGACCAATGCCAATGCCCCCGCCTTGAAAGTTTCCTTCCAGTGTGACTTTTCGCTGGTATCTGGAAAGGCTGCACAAAGGATGACTGCTCAAGTGAAGGGCTTCAAAGTCTTGGCCTGTGCCTTTCTCAAAGAAAAACAAGACAAGAATGTTACTACGGTAAGAAACCTTGGTTTTCATAATTAAAAAGGTAGTGAGAGCTGCTGGCAGGCATGTCCTTTAGCTGACATATCCTTATCACGCAGAAAATTTAGTTTTTGTATCGTTGGTTATTGTGGAGGTAGGAGGGGAGCGTGCGTGTGTGGTGTGCCATGTGAGTCTGTTACTGGCAGATGCAAGACTTCACGTGGAACTCTAAAACCTGTGTAGTGCATTTGGAAATTAAAAATTTCTTAGTGAAGAAATGGATTGAGGGAATTTTGAAGAATGAGATGCCTCTACGCGGCTTTGTTGCCGGCCTCTCAGTGACTTGTTGCAGCTTCGTGTGCTTATTCCTGAAAAGGAGCACTGAGCCACAGAGGTGTGGTTCACCACGCATGCTGTATCTTTCCTCATACATTTAGTTTTCTTAAGGATTCATGCTTTGCTTTTCTTATTTTTGCTATACCATCCGTCTCTGTGTTGAATTTTGCATTTGTTGTTTTTTTAGGCATCATGTCAAAAGCTTTTTATTTCACTGACTTCTAACCCTCCAATACAAAATAGCCCTTGTGCAAATTTACATGCTGGAACACTGACTTCTAACCCTCCAATACAAAATAGCTCTTGTGCAAATTTGCATGCTGGAGTGTAGCACAGTAACACTACAGAACGAATGCTGTTAGTCTGAAACGCATTGTTATTTTGTGGTATCAGCATCCCTCCAGCCTGCGGGGTTAAAATAATACAGGACTATTTGAGAAGGTTAGATGTCAGGAATTGCCTTAATAATCGAGCTGTGGGGTTTTTTCAGGTGTTGCGACCCTGTTCCTTGGTCATGGAAAATATGATGCATGTCTCAGGGTTACAAACTGTGGTAGTAACAATAGAAGAACTTACTATAAAGGTAAGATTATTAAAACTGTATCTGGAAGAACAGATGTGTTTATGTATTTCTGTTGAAAATTTCCATTTTCCTCATTTAGTTTAATTCCAGCATAAAGCTTTTGATAGCTGTACTGTACTGCTGGTTGGAATGGTGGTGTACATAGCTCTGCAAACATGCCCTTTTGAACACCCCGGAGATCTTAAAAGTGAATTCCCGTTTCACAGTGTAGTAGGGGAGAATTTGGTATGGACTGGGGTTATGGGAGTACCACATATTAGTAAAAGTGAAATTCCGGTCTGAGAATTTAGCTCTTGAGCCTGTGGGATTGTGAGGGAGGAACTGGGAAGTTTTGTAGAAAGGAAAATAAGAGGAGATACATGAATGGATTCTGGTTCTTGATCTTGGAATTTTAGTTGCACCTCATATGAGGGCCTTTAATCTTGTGCACCTGTATGAAGAGCTCAAGAGTTACTTGCCATTTTCGTGGGTTAATCAGTTTTAAAATGTTTTGAGCTATAAAGGATTTTCTTTTTTTTGTTCAAGATCTCACCGATAATTCTGAATACTGTGATGACCATTATGGCTGCCATAAAACCCAAAACGACGGAGGAGGATTCTAGAGGAGCGGTGGAAGTTCCTGAGAATTTGTGGCAAGTGAAGCCTATAGATGAGTGCAACACTTGGTTTCTGGGTGCCCATGTAGCCACAGAAGCAACAGAAACTTTTAAGGACCGTGAAACTGTTCTGAAACAAGAGAAGTTTGACATTGAAGTGAAATCGGTTCAGATCACCTTGGAATGTGGTCTGGGACACCGTACTGTCCCTTTGTTGTTAGTTGAATCTGTGTTTTCAGGTGTGCTTAAAAACTGGTCCTCACTGATGGAGGTCGCTGCTGATATGTCATTGGAGGTACGTAGACTCAGATTGTTAGCAGTTTAAAACACTTCTGCACTTTTCATAATGCTCAAGTGACTTTTTAGTATGATTTCTATGTCCTAAATAAGTAATAGGTTTCAATTGCTTAAATTTCTTGTAGGAGTTCTTTAGTAGTCAGGAAATATGACTAAGCATAATGTTTTTACAGAAACTTTGCAATCAGTAGTAAATTTTCATGGCAGTTGCTACTGTGAAATAGTCTAATCTCCTCTGTTTCTCAGTTATTTTTGCATATTCACTCTTTGCTGTATGAATGATGAGGCTGGCTTAGCCGTATGTACATATTTAACTCTTATTGCCTACCTGTTTTAGTTTTCTGGTTGCTCTAAAAGCAAGCCAGGTAGTCCGTTCTTCAAAAATGGTGTCATGAAAAATGCTTGATATGTTAACACTTCTGTGTTTGTTTCTTCAGTCCTTCATTTTTAGGTGCCTTATTTGATTTTGATTCTTTCTTTAGGTTCATTATCACAATGAAACCTATGCAGTGTGGGAACCGCTTATTGAGCGAATTGAAGGAGGAAAGAAGCAGTGGAGTTTAAAGCTAGAAGTATGTAAACGTACTTGAAACTATGTGAAGTAGTTTAAATAGACAGGTATTTCTTAAAAGTTTTGTGTGACAGAACACTGACCTTTCAAGTGCTGTTGCTTTGAGGGAGCTATGCAATTTTATGTGGAAAAAAAGGTCAGTCTTTAGACGTTTTGAAGCTTTTCTGAATAATGTTAATTGTTCAGTACAGGGGCAAAATGTAGTGTGTAACCACACGTGCAAAGAGGAAGGGAGATAACTTGCTTGCCTTCAGTGTTGGTATAAAATTTCCACCTTTGTGCAAGGTGTCTGAGATTTACAAGGCCAAGCAGATTTTCCTTTCCTTGGAAATTGTCTAGTGTAGGCCATGTTTTTCCTGTTTTAACAGGAAGTAATCGATGTGTTTGTAATTGCCTGATGATATTTTTGTTTTAGATGAAGACTAACCCTGTCCAAGAGAGAAGTTTGATGCCTGGGGATGATTTCATTGTTCTTCCTGAGCCACAACATGCAGTTAACATCTCTTCGAAGGATACGATGAATATAACAATATCCAAAGCTTGTCTTGCTGTTTTCAGTAATTTAGCCAAGGTAGTCCTAGCAGACAGAAGGTGCCGAATTACATGGTTCTGTAGGAAGTTGGGATTTTTTTATTTTTTATTTTTTCTTAAAAGAACTTCTGTGCTGCCAGTGGCAAGCCAATGAGTGTTCTGCAGCCCTGACAAATGTTTTCTAGCAGGGCTGAGGAGTTTTACTGAGATTAGCTCTTCAGGGTTAACAAAAAGGTGATGATAATTTTTGAAGGAAGCGATTTCTGTTAGAAGAACGTATGTTCTTATGCAGGGCTTAAGGAACAGTCCTACAAGCAGGCTGTAGGAAAATAAA